GGGTTAGTTGTGCAATTGGTCAGGTAATCCCCTACAATGCTGACGCTTCCCTGTACTGAATCTATATAAAGATAATGAAATAGCAGGAACTGCGTTGATACCTTCTGGCATTCGGTGAATAGTATGTCTTTGTTCAGTTCAGTTCAGTGCTGTGCCATTCAGACTTCTGATGCTGGTCGTTTGACTTATCAAGGCTGAGTAATGAGTAGTGAATACAAGGACGGCGAAGAGGGTGAAACGGTGAAATATCGACTCAACATTACAAAGAAACTCACCGTCTGTTGAAACGACAAGTACCGTATGTAAAAGAAGAGACAGGAATGAGTGTTGATCTGTACGCCACACTATCTAAAGCTAATGTATAGTGTCATATATGCGTTCGTAGTGAATAAAGTGGAAGGAGTCATAAGAAAGTATACCACTTTTCTCTCTGTCTACCACGTTGCAGTTGTTGCTTTTCAGTGACTGAATGTGTTTATAAAAAGTTTTTACAAGTTTGCCACTACGTTTAAAATAGGCGGAACTTTTCCCCAGGCAATATTATCAAAATGCCACCCTCAAAATCTCTCGTCGAATGTATAACTGAGGAAGGGCAAGATATCTGAAGACTGGGAAAACGCAAAAATTTCGTCTAATCTATCTGGGGGCTACTGAAGGGTTTTCGTCGGTGTAATGCAATTGATTCTTATTTAACAAAAGAACTAAAGAACAGATAACCAAGAATTGCCTTTTGTCTGTAAGGAAGGTTCATGGTTCACGTGGGACAGGTTGCTGCGTACGTGCCTCAAAAACAAGCTGTTTGAGTCGGCGGTCATAAAACAGAAGAAAAAAATCGACCGGGATTAGGCTCGTCGGTTACAGAATACGACGCCGAGAAGGAATTTACGATCACTGGCACGGAAGAACAAAGAGATCGATAACATCTGTCATAAAACGTACTCACTCTCCACCTCCAGATCAGACTCCAGTCACGTGCTTCGTTCGTGTCCCTGGGATGGACAGACGGGGCGCGAGAAAGAGTTTAAAGGACGGGCAGGTTGTGATCTGGTCCTCACACTCACACCGTCACAGCATCGAGGAGTCGGACATCACTCGCAGTGCGCGCCGCGCAGGATCTCAGACAAGATACTCAAAGGGAAGTTGGCATCGTGGTGATATACAGTCTTCTTTTCAAAGCAAAACTTATCATGATAATAATAACATTACCTCTCACACTAAACCTTCAGATAGAAGTTCTCAAGTCGAGACTTCATACCTGAAGGCTTCTCCCAGTGTCGTTGATTCAGATCGCAAACTTTGCGCGAGGAAGGGACAAGACGTAGAGAAGATAACATCTCACGACCCGGGATTTCTGTTGCCTCAAACGCAGTCAGAGAGAGAGACACCAAGACGTAACTTTGGTCCTCAGAAGCAAGGAGAGTTGAAAGATGGAACTGTATCCTCCGGGAACCCACGTCTCAAGTTACTCAACAGCCGAAGTTTGCGATACCTCAGGGATCTGGATGGTCAAGCTAATGAGACAGGTCACTCAGCTGTTGGAGCCGGACATTGGATATCATCGTCACGGAATCGCACGGATAACACCAAGAGTGGTTTAGGCAAAATCAAAAGCCGCTTTGGAAAATCCCGAAGTCAGACAGACAGGTTAGGAAATAGTGCGGGCGTGTTCGGGAACCCTTTGGACCAATTCCGGAATCACAACCAAAAATTCGAAAACCGTGTGAACAAACTTGGACTAACCGTCATAGCACCGGTGGTGACGAAACGGAGAATCTCTGAGCTGGCCACGATACAGGAAGGCAAACTACACTCAGCGGCAGGGGGCGCTGCGGCTGATGGTGACCACGTGACCTATTATTATAGTAACACTGAGTCGTTATCTAGACGACAGTTTGGGAAAACCTCCTGGAGGTCACCAAAAGTTGTAGATCTGAGCCACATCTCGGGGATCGGGGGTGGACCCAGCAACGAGAGTAGATCCGGTGCGAGGCAATGGGAGGCATCAGACCGAACGTCCAGGCTGGGTTCAGACTTGGAGGAAGATCGAGAAACAATTGCTGTAAAGCGTGCAAGAAATGGGGGAATTTCTTATAAAGACAAAGCAATGTCTAAAAAACTGAGGAACCAGAAAAAATATTATACAGATGATTTGAATACACAAAGCCACAGTTCTGTTTCACGAAACAGAGAAATGAACAGGGAAAACATGGCGGAAACACCTTCGGAGGATGGCGGTCTTCTCATGAAGAGCACGGAAAGGCATCGTGGATCTTTGGGAGAAGAATCTGAAGTAAGCTCTGATCATAACATTATTAAAGGTGGTGATAAATTGGCTCTCACGCCTTTGCATTCTAGCGAGCGTTCAAACGCGAAGACGGAAGGAGAGAGTGGTGAGGTCGGCGGTATCGAGAAAGGGAAGCCCGCGGAGAGTAGCAGTAAGAGACAGAGACGTGTGGGCAGAGTGGACAGCGGGAGCTGGAGTGAGACGGAAAGTTTATCCGCTTCTGAACAATCGTTGAGGCTGTGGATGACCTCACACGCTGAGGAGGTCAAAAGACGCGCCCACACGACGAGACATGACAGCACTTCAGGCCTGCCGTTTGATTCTCAAGCCCATGTTATGGGTAGCCTTGTTGACGATGATGTACATAATTTCTCTCCGGACGATATAAGTAGGAGATCTTCTCAGAGCAAAGTTAGTGACGTCGGTGTGGTGTGTGGACATCAGGTGGCCAATAGTGTTTTACCGCGGCGTCGCCGGAGCCTCGTTCTCGAAGGTGAAGGTCAAGTTGTTTCAAAGAACTCGATTCTCGGAGTGCCGTCACATGACCCTTTTGTTGACAATATGGCGCACATTAGCAGACGCCAGAGTGTTGCTCAACTGGAATCAGCACAAGGCTGCAGCAGCAACAATAGCAATGCCAACAACAACAACAACAGCATCAGCAGCAGCAACAACAACAAAAACAACAACAACAACAACAACAGCAGCAGTGAAAGCCCCAGAAGACTGAGTTTGGGCGACATATCCAACAGACGTAAGTGGAGTGTCTCCTCCGAAGTGGACGTACAAATAAACCGTGTAGATTCGTCCTTCACCTTGAGGAAACCCAGCAGCTCCTCCCGATTTGTAGAACGCGGTACGCCCTGCGAGAGTCTGGGAGATTCCGTCGGTTCTCCGCCGCCCTGGGGTGTTCGCTCCGGTAACCATGTCAACGGCGTCGGTGACGACGTGGCAGAGATCTCCCGGCTCAGCCGGAAGTCAAGCTCGTCGATGCGAGTCCGTGATTGGTGCCTCGCCGGGACGGGCGGTCACGTGACAGAGACGTCACAGCGCTACGTCAGACACTCATCTTCTCTGCCTTCTATAATGAGGTGAGACTAGACTCTAAATAGATCTACTGTTCACAACGCCATCATTGCGGGATGTCGTTCCTGATTTAGCGTTCTAAACCTGTTCCTTTTCAATTTAATTATACATTTGAACTTGCTTTAATGACAACTTGTCTAAGACGATCACCTATAAAAAACGACCACCTCCTACATCCTCCCTTTACGTTTTTTTTTTTTACATTATAATGAAATTTTCCAAGACATCCACCTGTCTAAGACAACAACTCCTTCCCCTCGACAATATAGGCGGTCGTTTTGGATAGTTTCAAACGTAATAAAATAATAATAGATAGCATTTGTATAGCGCATATCCCCGCTCAACAGCAGGCTCTATGCGCTTTACACTATATTATTACCCCAGCAGACCA